CATGTATATATACAGTTTGTTTATGTTTCTGGCCTTGCTATCTTTTAGGGTTTTTTGTTTAAGTATCACATATTATTCACTATAAAAAAATTGAAAGGTGGGCATACTTTCTTCTTTCCAGAGTGTCTAAAGCATTTCAAACCTACTTCTTACATGGTTTAGCCACGGATAACATAACATGTCAAGACTTTACAGTAACCACTTTGTCAGCCATATGTGAAAACCCAAATTGGACTGTGAAGAGCATTTAAGATGTTACCTTTAATATACCACATTGGTAATATCTAGAAGATGAAAAAGATTAGTTTTCACCTGAGATTATTCATTTAGGAAAGAAATGACTCTAGGGAACCAGAAATCCATCCTTATTCCTTAGTGCATGATACCATTTCTCTACTGGTAGAGAAAAGCAGAATATGTATGAGTAATGCTGATATAGATCCTTGATGGCCTCTAGATCTTTTAAATTTCCATTTAAACATAAAAATCTACATCACTCTCAGACTAACCTTGGGCAAACCTACAAAACTGTGACCTACCTGTTAAGCCAACTATAGAGATTTATTTACAAACCTTTGTGAAGTCGGATGGACACCAACATACAGAGGTGACCTCTTGAGAATGACCCAGTAGCATAGTAGGAGGATGCCAGGGTGTGGAGACCTGTCCAATCAAACAGGAACAAGTGAGCAGAACAGCGTTAGGTCTCTCAGTTAGAGACTCTGAATCTCCAGAATTGTGCCTTAAAGAGCTTTAGGGTTGCTACCAAAGGCCTCTAGGCTTGCCTAGTTATAGTTCAGAAAAAATAGTTCCAATGGGCAATTAAGTATTTCTGTCACTAATCTAAGAAAACACAATGAAAATAGACAAAATAAGTAAATAATATGAGCTTGGACACCAGAACCATTCTTATTTCACCTAGGACTACGCAGCTATACATATTTTAACTAAAATTTAAGACTGGCATTGTCCCTTACCCATTAGCTGGTAAACCTTCTGGAAGGATTAAGTTTAACAGCTAGATAGCAAACTTCAAGTGGACAACTTAGTCCTATTTTTACTTAGCCTAGATATTTTCAGATCTCTAGTTAGCTACTTCCAGAAACACTAAATTAACTGTGAATCCTGCAGCTATCTGAAACATGCTACCAGCTCTCTTGGGACAAGAGCAGAATCTTCCCTCCAAAAGAAGACTCACTGACTCTTACCAAAATCCAAAGTTATATCCTTTCCTTTTAATTGGATAACCTTCATTTTTGAAGGAGTATAAGCTATATTCTACAAAGTACTTTGGTATCCTTTGTGGAAAAAAATTTTTTCTCCAAAAGTTTGTTAGTTTGCTTAAAGAAATTTTGAATTTTCAATTAAGTCTCACTACACTTTAATATAGTTTAATGCATGAAGAAGAGTCACATTTGTGCTGTGTTGCACAGGTGATTAAGTATTTTCCCTCCTTTGGATGCCACCAGTAATATGCATTTGACAGCATCATACAGCTCATTGAGAGCTGTCAATCCCTTTCACAGGCCATAGGAATTAATGAGCACAATAAGGAGTACAAACTCACATAACTATTATTAGCACGTGTGTTTGAAAAGACCAAGGAGATTGGGGCTGAGAAGTTATTCTCTTTTCATTTACCTAAAGCTCTGAATCATGGCTCATTTGTATGAAGCAAGTGGAGGTGACTCTGGAAAGAATATTTGTGAGAATGACTAAGTAAACTTAATAGATTCCTCAGATTATAATTAAGAGATTTGCCACATTGATTCACAAGGTTATCCAACTCAATTATTACTACTCTTCTCTTGGGTTAAATGGTACATGTGCAATAATTTAAAAAGCAAAAGAAGACAAAGAGCAGAGTCTAATTTGCCTTGCTGAATTAACAGAAAAGGAAGTCTCTTCCACATCTACAAAGATCTCATTTACTGCCTACTCCTACAACGCCAGAGACAATATAACTCATTCTTTCACAAGGTAACGTATTTTAGAAACAACTTTTAAGATAGTCTCTACCTATCCCAGTAGTCACAGAAATTCTCCTTCCTCCTCCATTTAGAGGAGGCCCCTCCAAATGGGATTTGGGGTGATGCCAGTCTATTAAGTTTCTCTTCAGTCAAGACCCAAACAGATAGAAGCAAGTTAAAAGGGGGAGGAAATCTTCATGTCCTTTTGAGCATCCCTGGTAAGAATCCATTATTCTCCATTGGTTTACCTTGCTTGTTGCCCCTAGCTTTTCATTTCATGATATTGCCCCTTCCTCAGTTTCTGTATCATAATACCTAGGAGAACCTAAATGTATACACCAAAAATTAAAATAAATTTCAAAAAAAACCCCAAATGCTAATAAAATGAATGTACATTTTTGCATTTATCTAGAGCACCTCAGAGAAAAAAGAAAAGAGACCCATCAGAAAAACTTTTAACAATTTAATAGGTATTAATAACAATGATAATAAAAGCCAGCATTTGTTGATTGAATACCATAAGCCAGGCACTTTACATATTATCAAAAGTGGGGAGAAGCTTCCTCAAAAAGTTAAACATAGAATTATATGACCCAACAATTCTACTCTTAGGTATATACCCCCAGAAGAATTGAAAACATACGTTAAAACAAGAACTTATACACAAATGTTCATAGAAGCTTTATTCATAATGTCAAAAAATGGAAACAACTCAAATGTCCATCAACTGATGAATGGATAAACAAAATGTGGTCTATTTATACGATGGAATATTATTGAGCCATAAAAGGAATGAAGTACCAATACATGCTATAATATGGATGAACCTTGATAATATTATGCTAAGTGAAAGAAGTCAGACACAAAATGCCACATATTGTATGATTCCATCTATATGAAATGTCCAGAATAGGCAAATCCATAGAGACTGTAGGTTAGCGGTTGTTGGGGGCAGGGAGGAATGGGAGAGTGATAGTTAAACGGTAGGGGATTTCTTTCTGGTGTGATAAATGTTTGAGAATTAGATAGTAGTGACCATTGCATAACATTGTGATTATACTAAAAATCATTTAATTGTATACTTTATAAACACTTTTTTTTTTTTTTTAAAGAGATGGGTCTGTGGGGGGATAGTCTCACTTTGGTGAGATCATAGCTTTCTGCAGCTCTCAAACTCCCGGGCTCATCGATCCTCCCACCTCATCCTCCTAAGTAGCTGGGACCACAGGCATGTGCCACCATACCCAGCTAATTTATTTTTTGTAGAGACACGGTCTCTCTATGCTGCCCAGGCTGGTCTTGAACTCCTGGGCTCAAACAATCCTGCCTTAGCCTCCCAAAGTGCTAGGATTACAGGTGTGAGCCACTGCACCTGGCTGAATTGTACATACTAAGATGACTAAAATGGTTAATTTTGTCTCAATTTTTAAAAGTGGGGGGAAGGGCAAGTTGTGGTCTAAAATGAGAAACTAATGTCTAACAAGTTTTTGTGAACTTTTATGTTTTGACAGTTTAGGACTATCCTAGGGTGTAGTACTTGGTGACTAATTCAAAGAAGATTAATTTCCTCCAATGAAACTCAGGTGGCTTTTAAATCCTTTATTTTTATTCAAATAAGTTTTTATTTATTACCACTTCATTATTATAAAAACACTGTCATAATTACATGACTTCTGTTTTTAAAGCCTCCTTTCAAGTAGGAAGGAGACTATTAATTGTAAGATACATTTATACCTATGCACTTTGGGGATGGTCAAACATAGAAGACTGTCCTCTCTTACATATTCTACTTTTTACAGAATAAAGACTTCAAGGCACAAGGAATCCCCAAATTAAAATTCTCAGAACTAAATGGCTCTATCCGTAAAGCATTTCACGTACTTAAACATGTGAAAAAGATCAGCACTTTTCCTCACAAAATCTCCTTACTCTGCCCAGTTGGAAACCAAGTCTAATCTTCATTTCTGCCATGAGATCATTTACACTTCCTAAAGTGTCAGGCTCAACGTTTCGCCAGTCAGCGGTAGAATGACTGTGCCAAATCAGTTTATTTATAACCACTTCAATACTATTTAGTGGCTAATATCAGAAACCAGGGAAGAGGGGATGGGGTGGAGGTGGGAAAATCGGTAGGAAATTAAAAAGAAAAAATATAACATTAAATCTTTTTAAGTCTTGGGCATCAATATCAAAGTCTAAATATATTACATCTCCCCTTTGCTGGGCAGTAGTGAGGATTAAAAGGCCATTCTTTTCTGTCTTAAGATATAAAACTCCCTTCTTCTACTTTGTTTTCTTGTGCCCATGGGCTTTTTAGCATAGAAAAAGTTCCAGCACTTAAGAAGAGAATTCTGACTTTTTGAACACACAGCACAGTTATAAGACAACCTCCATTTCTCAGCTTGCATGGAATTGCTTTTAAATTATCAACCCTCCTTTCTCTTAATCGTGGAAAAGAGAAACTGAGCCACCTCACTAGGCAAATTCAATTTTAGGAGGTGCAAGCTTGCCAGGCTCTCAAATATCAGAGCCTGTACACTGGGTTATGTGTGGACAGGCAGGAGAACATCACGTCTGAACCACGTCATTCAACACTGACATGTGACCCAGCCTAGGAATTCAAAAAGGGTCACCCATGTACGTGGTGGTCACTGATTGGATGTCTGAAAATGGGTTAGAAACAACAGCCAAGTATAAGTGTCTCCAAGTATCTTTAGTATGTATCTTTATTTATTTTTTTTTTAGCATGTAACTTTAAATGGAGGATGTATCCCCTCACCTTCACTCCCTGAAACAAAATTTTAAAAAGGCCTTTGGAACTTTAAGAATTGGAAAACTACACCCCCCACCACAATATACATATAATTACATACATAATTACATATAATTTAAAAACTGATCTAAAATTATTTAAATAGAATGATTAATACATAATGACTTATTTGCATAACTCTTTATTATTCTTTTTGGCATATCTGAAATTTCAGAGTTTTTTGGTTTTTACTTTAAGAAGAAAGAAACTTCTTTCTTTCTGTGGTAGGAATAAAATCCTCTAAGTTGG